CAGCAATCCAAAATGAATTACTGCTTGAAACTGAATAGAATTCAAGACTTAAAAAGTTACCAAACTAAAATTATACCCTAAATCATTAGTAAGAGTGTTTGTGTTCATGTGAATCTAGTTTGGAAAATGTGCTGTATAGTCTATATTTAATCAAACTAAACAATGCTTATTATTAGATAAGAGGTGAATTTCTTGATTTTAAGGGTTTCATTTTATCTAATAGCTCTTGTTTTGCATACCAATATTGTTAAAAGTGCAAAACAAAAGATTCATCTAGTTTTATTAAGGTACTACTTGGATTAGTTCTTTCAATACAATTAATAACTAATAGTTGATATCAACAATTAATCATCGTTGTTTGTAATTAAAATATTTAACTCGTTTGATTAAAGTTAATAAATGATATTTATTTATAAAAAGTCAAAATGAACACCTCTAAACTATTTTGTTTTTTGAAATTATTAAAAATTAAATATAAAGATTTTAAATCATGATTTTGATAATAAATTAAAGTTCATGCACAGTGTAAAAGAGTCTTGGACTGTCTTTGGAATTTATTATATGAGAGACCGAGTTTGGGTACAACCGTACAAGAAATCAATATAGTAAGTTACCTTAGTGTTCTGGAATGTTGAAATTGGAATGGTCATTGTTGGGTAGTTCCGTAGTTTGAACAAAGTTTAGACGTCAAACCATAAGACTCCAAGTGGAAGAGGAAAGAAAAATGAAAATTAGAAGAAGAAGTGGAAGCTGTAAAAGCCCATTAGATCTGGATCTCTTAAATGATCCCCCACACCACACGTGTACGTTTTGCTCCACCAAGATACTTTTCTCCTAAGATTGTTTAAGGAAATGTCTGGAATTTCGTTAGGGAAAGTTGGAAAGAGATCTGCTTTGGCTAGTGAAGGGAAGACAAAAAGGCAAAACCGAAGCTTCTTGTTTTGCAAATGTTGGTGTCCTTTACTTACTTAAGTAGGCATAAAGACACCAAGGATGAAGATTTGAGAATTAGGAAAATCCCATTTAGAGGGAGGTATCATATATAAAAAGTTTCCATCTAGTTAAATTTCACCCTCTGCAAGAATTTCCATATAATCTTTGACCGTATGATTTGGATTAAAAGTCTATTTCATCACATCGGATTAAGTTTACTTCCTGGTTCAATTTTAACATGATTTAAAATTTATGATGAATTATCTCTTCATTTTTATTGCTCATGACCACTTTGTTTCAGTGGATGGGTATCGAGGTGTGAGGTTAGCATCCTCCACACAATTATTGTAGTTCAAATAAAAAAAGAAAAGGTGATCTTCTCAAAAAATGGAATAATAAAAAGAATAAATCCATTTGCTAACTACTCTTGTCGAATAATTGTAGTACTTATCTTTAATATAGACTGTACTTAATATAATTGATTATCAGAAGTTGATGAGATTCAGATTACTACTGAGGCATTTAAAGTTCACTGACCTTTTCATCTTTCTCCCATACTTACTAAACGACAGTAATCAGAGTTTGATTAAGAATTGTCGGAGTAACTAATTAGTTGTCTTAAGCAAAACGGACAGTGGGTGTCGCCTTGTCCTGCCAGATTGCTTCTCTACCACAGTGCAAGGCCCTTGAGCTACGCCGTGATTGCAATCATATTAATTAATTTAATTTAATTGATGCAGGGGAGGAGGCAGACAATATTAAGACATAATATTAATTTAATTTTTGAAACAAATATCCATTTAAGAATAAACAAGCCATATAACATCTACATAATTTTTTTTTTAAAAAAAACTTCTAATCTTATAAATATTAGTCATTTGAGTTTTTATAACTTATGTCTTTTTTTTTTTTTTGGTTGCACAATGAGAGGTAACTATCTCTCATCCCTTATCCCATCTCATCTCTTATCCCATCTCATTCGCATGCCATGCGACTCGAAGTCAGGATCTCCTATTTTCAATAGAAAGAAATGACAGTTACTTAGGTCGTTGACTATAACTTATGTCTTAAGAGCATTTTTTTTAAATTAATTATTATTAAAAAACTTGATCTTTACTTAATTATTTGTTTAATTAAAATAATTCATATGGCATTGATAATGAAATCAATATCTAACTTTTGTCATTTTTCATACTAATTAATGTCAAAATCATTAATCTATACCTTAAAAATACAAATTAAAAAAATCTTAGTCATTTTAAAAGCAGAATTCAAGTTTGTCCTCAAAACAAAATTTTAAGTTTATGAAAAAATCAAATGCTGAAGGAGGTGCACTTTAGATGGATCATGAATGTATGAATTAAACCAACTAATCTTGAGAATATTTACCAAGACACCAATGTAGGGTGAGTAAGGTTGGTAGTTGGTACTGACCCTAAACCTAAACCTTGAAACTCAACTTCTAATAAGATGATTGAATTAGTCAATTCTTGAGTCAAATGCCATTGATTCTTTATCTCGTTTCTTATTACTAAAGCAAGTGGACTAGTTCTTTGCCAAAGTAGGGCCTCATTTCTTGTGTAATAATTAAATGCTCCCCAAGATGCCTTCATTTACCAATTAACTGAGATTCAACCATTAGATCAGTCAACCTAATGAAGATTTGTGATTTAATATGGTCGTCATTTTGCAATAATTAACCTTTTAAGTTTTTATTAAGTTTGAAAATTACCCAACAAGAAAAAATTAATTACTCATGTACTTCTAAAAGAATTAAATTCATCTTGGGTCTGTCTAACCTGTGTGTATTAAATACATTTTTTATCATAAATTTATATTAAAAAAATAAAAATCAACATTTAATTTATCAATTGTTCAATTAAATTCACTTAATATTAAAATTAATATCAATTTTTATACTTTTCTATATACATTTATAATAAAAAGATATAATAAATATATTTTTTTATCATGTATCCTATGATAGAAAAACCCATTCATCTTTTCTCAGAAAAGAAAAATGAAAAACAATTAAATACATCTTCTGGATTGGACCAGATCTGGTCCAAACCATAAAACTAAAACATGGATCAGACAATTTCATGTTAAGGCCCATAAATTTGGGGCGAACATTTTTACTTTAATTGCTGGCTCACTTGGGCCAGACAATCTGGAGGCCCAGTCATTGTTGAGGAAATGGGGATAGACGCGGGCAGCTCAGGAAAATTATTTTACTGTATCAAAATGTGATGACCAAAGGCCAGAGATTTTGCTGTATCATCCGCTCATAATTTATGAACAACTGACATGTGAATATGTGGATCATCTTAATTTAATTATTCATATATATTATATATTTTGACATTAAGTTGCATAATAAAAAATGATTTTTTTTATTCTTTAACTTATTATACTTATATGTTATGCAATTCAAATTTACAATTTTTTACTTTCAGATACTGAACTACTCAGTTGTTAGCATATATTATACATGTTATTCACACTTACACTATATATCTTCTTGAGGAGGGATTTGGGTATCACAAAAAACGTTGAGAATTGCGATGGATAGGTAGGGAAGTTAATTTCATGTAGCTCCAAATGTGAACAGACTATAAGGCAGACCGGCCGCCTTATAAAAGGATCTAACATTGATGGCATTATATCTAGAGGAAGCCCCACAACGATCCCTAGGGGAGGATTGCTTTTTCATCAATTGTAACTGCTTAATTTGTGGGACAAAACCACGACTTATTTTATCGAATATTCGAATATGATCGATGCAGTCCCTTGGGAACGGTTCATTTTGGCAAAAAAATGCCTATAAATATATGTTTCTCTAGCTAGACCTCGAGTGTCCCTCAAGGGCTTTGAGAAAAAGCAACAGACAAAGCAACCTGGCATTTTTAGCTAGAGATAAGAGAATTAAGCTAATCTGAGGTTTTTCCGTTTAGTAATTTTAATAGCTAGAAATGGGTTTATAATTCACATGTATACCTTGTTCTCTACGTATGCATACTGTTCTCCACCAAAAATGTTCATCATTGTATTATAAGCCCTTAGTATTTTAATTATTTGGCTATCCCTTTTTGTATATTTATATATGTTTGCCATGGTTGGATAGCAGTTTTGCTTCAATTATAAGAAAATGATCTTGATTAACAATTCTGTGTATCAGATTTGATGGTTGAGAAATGATAAAAATGTAAGCTGATAATGGCCTAAAAGCTTGAGCATGTGTGCCACATTAACTACTTGCAAATAGAGACAGAAAGGTACTAGCTATAGGCCCCTCCTAACTGTTAATCTTTTTTGGACTAAATTGGTGAATATATAGCAAGTCACTGAAATATTAATTATTTTCTCATGCACTCTCTTGAACAACATTTCTATAAATGTTTCAATTTCACGAAAAAAAAAAAAAAAAACCTTCCCTTAGGTGATTATATATTATTGACGCAAGCTAAAATTATTCAGTCTGCTCGAGCTAGCTAGATGTCACATGATATATAATAAAGTTTTTTTAATTTATATTTTTAAAAGTGTAATAAATATATTTTTTATTATAAATTTATATTGATAAAATAAAAATTAATATTTAATTTATTTAATAAATATTAAAATTAAAATTAATATTAATTTATAT